AGCCCGTCCCCCGCCCCGCCGGCTCCCTGCCTGCCCGCTGTTGCTGCAGGCAGTCTTCAAACTGTCTCCAAGCAGGCAGCTCCTGATGGCTCTCCGATCCCCCGGCTGCGTGCCGGCATGCTGCTCCCGCACACCCTGGAAAACCGCCGCCGGCCAGGCTGGGGGGCTGGATTGGCAGATGGGCTGTCTAAAGACGAACCTGTCTGGATGGCCGCCTTCTGGGCCGGCATAATCCTGCCTGTGGAAGCGTTGGCCAGCTGCAGAAGGGCTGCTGGGGGCTGCACGCTGCCCTGGCTGCGTTCGAGCTACCCGGAGCCTGTGTTCTGGAGCGAGAACCACGTGCCCTCAGCGGTGATGCTGTGGTGTGGGAAGGAGCTTGCACCCAACTCAAGAGAGAAAAACACCAGCTGGAGAAAGAGCATTCATATGAGAAGGACGTGCAGAGCAATGATTACGTAGCTGCTTACCTGTAAAAGTAGTGCAGGTAGGTCTTAGGTACCTTGAAGTGCCTACTGCCCTGCACGAGGAAACGGCACAATCTGTGCCAGCACTGGAATCTCCTTTGCTTGGACACTTCTGAACATCTCACAAATTAATAACGTATCCATGTTACACTGGGACTTCTGGAAGTCCAGACAGCTTTGGCTCAGAGCCAGCACAAATATTTAAAAGCCTTCACGTATTTGAGTAGCTCTGCTGGCTTGTGGTGCTTAGGTTCAGCCACCTACTTCAATGTTTGCGTGTTTGAGCCCTTGGTTGTGTTTCATCTGTGAAGTTGAATGAATGCTTATTAGGCAGGTACAGAGTGGGGTTTTTTCCCCTAAAAGGTTGACTCTAGCCTGGAGACAAGTTTCTTTACTACAGCACCTCATTTTCTGCTGTGCTCCACATGGGAAAAGATTGTTCCTGAGTAAAATGTTGGTTGGTCTTGCTCTCTTCCAGGGGGAAAACGAAACGAAACAAAAGCAAGCGAATTTCATTCCTTACCTAGGAGGCTCCAAAAGAAAGCCATTAATTAAAAGCCTTGATTAACGAACTGTCAGCTACGACGACTAGCTTTGCGTCACTGTGACCTTGTTACTTCTCATCAGCTTCCAGAATCCTGCAGGATGTGCTCTCAGGTTTCTAAAGCCAACACCTGACAATTGCCAGGCAGATGTCAACTGTGCTAATGCAGTGATGTACAATTTGCAGGAAGAGCTTTGAACATGAAACTTAAATAATGTTCTTGCTGTTTTCTAGTGTCAGGTCTTATTTATCTAATGTCTCATGAGGTGATGCTCCTTATGTGTCCATTATTTCAGTCGTTTCAGGAAACAAAGTGCTTGGCTTTCTAAATATTTGATTAAATTAGGAAACTGTCTCTCTAAATTTGGTTTAGTCAAACTGGGAAGATGTTTTCCCCAGTAGGAAGAATCTCCTGTTGGGGATGATGGATCTACTCATTTCCACTAACACAAGGAACGGACTCACTCGCTGGGTCTGAGCAGTGAGTTCACTAAGAGTTAAACCTCGATCCTTTCCCTTGGAAGGAGGAGGTGACTACGTTGGACTTTTCTGTTTTGCCTTATGGGAGACATTCCTTGATATATTACAGCTGAAATATTCCAGCTGACAGATGAAATGCTACATCTGGATTTATGTGCAAGGCAAGATGTATAGTGCAGGCTGAGATGAAACCAGCCAGACGGTGTAGCAGGGAAAGGGGGAGCTTCTGGAATCTGACAGAAGATGTCTGATGAGGCCCTGAGTGTAATTCTGTGCTGTTCAAGGCTGGACTTTTGTGGTATTTGTATCCCAGGGTAAGTTGTAAGGAGAACAGCGGTATTACACAGTTACATTGCTAATGAACTACTCACTAATCCAAATGTAGGAGGGAGAAGCTCTGTAGGGATCGTTCCCACTGAACAGGACTGAAACTCATTCTCCTAAGAGAATTTAACGTTGTTTTGCTCACAGGTCCTTGGGCAGATGTAAGCTTAGGGATCAAAATAAGCATCACTGCATCTTAGGTGATGGAATGTGTGTCATGTGCCCTGACTTTTCAGTGGAGTGAACATCAGAGACTGATGTCTTCCATCACCTCAGCTCACTTAAGGAGTGAAGGTCAGACTCCCATTTAGGCACTAGAAGATGCAACATGCTCCCCTGTCCTCCTCAGCAGCTCACCAGTGAGAGCTCTAAGTCCAGAGATGGCAGTCTTGGATCCATGTCCCTCCTCTGGATGAAGGGAGTCAAGCCCTCCTCCCGGAATGGCATGACTGTATGACTGCTGGGATCTGTTATTCTGGGAAGGACTTAAGCCCTCCTCCCAGAATGGCATGACTGCATGACTGCTGGGATCTGTTATTCTGGGAAGGAGGGAAAGGAAGCTGTCTGGTCCTCTCTTGCTAAAGCCCTTCCAGATCTCATCTAACCATTGCATTACACCTGAAAGACTGTCAGTACATCTGTGACTCCAGCCCTTCTCATTCAGCTGAGGGAGCTGGATTTCAAGTGTCATTTCGTGGTGAACTTGGGAGTATCAATGGTATCTTCAGGTTTAGGTGACAGCTAGGCAGCTTTGTTGAACTGTATCTTGGAGCTTGGATGTTTTAAATAGAAGTAAGGTGGGATATAGACATGCACTGTGGTTTGTGACTGCCTTCGGCACTGCAACTGCAACGCGAGGAGGATACCTGTGTGCCTCAGTTACTGGTAAAATAGAGCTAATGGTGAGAGGGAAGTACTTAAAGCTGCACTCAGGAGATGAGTTCTCCAGTGAAGATGTTGACCGAGATACCTATGGGATTTAGGAGCACTAATAGTGCTCAGAGATTGGCTCCACCCTGGGAGTTGATTCTTGGTTTCCCATTGTCCTCCGTGTGTGGACACCTTTACCTGAGTCAGACATGTGTCCCTGTCCCTTGTGTCCCTTGAGACATGGTTTTGCTCTACTGACTGGCTCTGTTGAAATTGTTTTGTGCGATTTTTGTGCTTATCGCCTCAGTCTGGCTCACATCTGCTTGGTATGAGAAAGCTGGCAGGGCTGTTAGGAAATACCGTGCACAGCTGGAGCAGCCTGGAAGAGCTCCCAGTGGTACACTGGTATTCCACAATACAGGGGTCATTCTTCTGGAGCAATGTCCAGGAAAGTCAGCCATCTAAATGTTTGCATTTCAGGTCAAATTGGTGGCATTGCTAAATATTTCTCTTGTTGTGTAGTAGAGTAGTGTGTCTTAAAATTTCTTGATCTTGGAGTCGTATCTCCAAAGTGGATGTTTACCTTATAAAATAATTAATGACGGATGTTCTGTCAGGAGGTCCCAGGAGAATCTGCAATGCTATAGATCCATACCACTATCTGTGTACACACTTTCATTATGGTTTAACACCTCTCCCACCCACACATGATTTTCCCTATTTAAGGGAAAGCAAGGAAGCTTCAGGTCAGAGGAAGAAGATAGTGACACTCGTTAAAACCCCGCACAGTGATAATCTCTTTCCATGTAATGAAATTGCGCTGAGCTTTACGTTGCTTTGCTTTGTCTGTGCAGATAGTTGCAGCAATAATGGCAATCACAGGAATCGTAATGATGGCATATGCAGATGGTTTCCAGGGTGATTCCATTATCGGGGTAGCATATGCTGTTGGATCAGCGTCTACATCTGCATTGTATAAGGTAGGTCATAACTGTGTGTTAGTATTCTTATATTCTTCAACATCGAATCTTAAAAAGACACGAGTACAAAGCGAATCACTATAAAATAAATGTTTTGTTTTATTCATCCCTCCTGCATCATTGGTGTTGTGACCAGGCGATGTCATGATGTCAGGAAATCTACTATGAGGGTAATTAGTTGGTAGCTGCCAAATATTCAGAATGACTTTGCTTTACGAGCCGTTAATGAAATCTCTGTTACTCTGCTGCAAGGAATCAAGGATCATGTTTTAATCATTTCCTGCCACCGCAGTTTATCAACACTTATTTCGAAGGGGCTCAGAGCGTGAATGCGGATCGTGCCGCTTTCCCTGAGCGGGGACAGACGGCTCATGCCGGGACCACACTGCAGCTCTCCGGCTCGTGCTGGGCACGGAGCCCCTGGGTGTGCCTGGTGCAGGCGACGTGATAGCGACACGCAGGGCTTTGCTTCTGCTCCAGAGTAGCAGCTGCTCTTGAAATGAGAGATGAAGAGGGCAGGGATGTATCTGAGTTAGAAACAGGGTGGGCTAGAGGTGGCTGTATTTGTTGTCAGCTCGTGGAGAGTGAAATGTGTGTAAAGAGAAGAAGTTTGGAGTTAGTTGTAGTGGGATGAGAAGGTGCCTCCCACCTTTAGACTTTGTTTGTCTCAGTGATAATTCGTTGTGAGCGTTCACAGATCACTCAAAGTGCGTGAATTTATGCTCATGCAGGACAAATCCTCCATGAGGCTTTCCTCTCACAGCAGGTTCATGCTGTGGAAGCCACTGAGGTCCTAACAGTGCCAAGCACAGCCCAAATCCTCTAACTTTCATTGCATGAACAGTGTTGTCTTCAGGTTCTTAGTTACACTCGTTCCTCGTGGCATTTTGTGTTAAGCTTTATTGTACAGATGCAGCCATCTGCACTGTAATAACATGGTATCCCCCTCTGTGCTAAAATGCAGGAAAGGGCAGAAATCAGACCAAAGTCCACCTTCCAAAAGTTCTGTAGGAAAGGGCCGGGTTGTGGCACGCTGTCCTGGTCACTGCTGTCCCCATGCCCCACTCTCCCCAAGGGAGTCAAGGACTCTGTGCAGGAAGACATTGCTTCCCATGAAAGGCATGAAGTCTAAACCCCTCTTCTTCCCTTTCCTTTGCAGGTTTTGTTCAAAATGTTTCTTGGAAGTGCAAACTTCGGCGAAGCGGCTCATTTTGTTTCTACCTTGGGCTTCTTCAATTTGATTTTCATCTCCGTTACCCCGATCATACTGTATTTTACAAAAGTGGAGTACTGGTCCCCCTTCTCTGCTGTGCCGTGGGGTTACCTGTGCGGAGTAGCCGGCCTCTGGTTAGGTACGTGGTAAAAAAACTTACTCATTTGTCTAGCTTTTCTCCCTCCTCCCCCTGCCCCAGTGCAAAACTAGCCTCAGGCACAAACAATTTCCCCCCTCTCAGCCCCCTTAAGCAGCAGAGCTCTCTCGCAGATCAAATCTGATCTCAGTGCAAACAGGTACTCCTTGAGAAATGATTCCTCTTTTTCATAAGAAGCCTTAATACTGATGTTAATAGCAGAGAATAAACATGAAGCAGTCATACTAATTGTCCACTTTTCATCTTCACATTCCCACTGTGATTTCATTGGTATTTCCTTGTCTCTGGCACAGCTTGATTTGCTAGAAATCAAATTCCAAAGGGCTGCATGTACCCAATAGTTCCTGGCACGCTCTGTGGGGTGGGTATTTGCAATGATCGGGACTCACAGCGTGAGGGCACCTTTCTGTGGGTGCTGCAGGGCTCTGGGCAGAGCTCACACAGTCTTTGCATGAACCTGCAAAGGATGGGCCTGTTTCATTGCCTGTGGTCTTCTTTTGGGCAGCCTGGTGTAGTGGAGGGTTTCCCTGCCCATGGCAGGGGGGTTGGAACTAGATGATCTTTGAGGTCCCTTCCAACCCAAACCATTCTATGGTTCTATGATTCACCTCCCCTCAGGAGGAAGCCCTTCTACAGCACTCCCTCTTTCAGAGCCACAATTGCCATCCTCTAGCCAGGCAGAACATCTGTTGGATTCAGCCCGGGGGTGTTTTAATTTCCAGATATAACAACATCCTTTCCTTTAGTAAAGTCTCTTATTATTTCATAATTGAAGAGGTTTTTATCTCCACTGAAAGTGTATTAGATGGAAACAGGGAGGATGTACATAGCCTGTCCACGCGGCTGTCCTGAGACATGGCTGAGAGAATTGGTGTTCAGCCTGGAGAAGAGAAGGCTCCGGGGAGACCTTCCAGCAGCCTTCCAGTACCTGAAGGGGCTACAAAAAAGCTGGAGAGGGACTTTAGACAAGGACATGTAGTGATAAGACAAGGGGCAATGGCTTTAAACTGAAAGAGGGGAGATTTTTATTAGATCTAAGGAAGAAATTTTTTACAATGAGGGTGGTGAAACATTGCAACAGGTTGCCCAGAGGAGTTGTGGATGCCTCATCCCTGGAAGTGTTCAAGGCCAGGTTGGATGGGGCTTTGAGCAACCTGGTGTAGTGGAAGGTGTCCCTGCCCATGGCAGGGTGGTTGGAACTAGATGATCTTTGAGGTCCCTTCCAACCCAAACCATTCTATAGTCAGGCTGACAGCTGAGGTACTGTGGGCACCTTGAATCTGCTCCAGCCAGACAGAATTGCAGCTGCTCTGTGAGCACCTAAGGAACAAAAAGTAGGGATAGTTTATCACCCAGCCATCTACCCAAGTGTATAATCCCGACCACGAGGGAACAACCTTGCGGAGCAGACAAACTTGATCCTTTTATGTAGAGGACTCACCAGAAGGACTGGGTGGTGGGTGATCAGGAAGGGACCTGAGGTCCCGCCACAGCACCAGCCCCTGGCTGCGAGAGCTGGAAGAGCACCCTTGGGAATGGCATGAAAGGGGAAGTTTTTGCAGTTTGCTTTTGATCTTCCAAGGAAATTGGAGCTGGCTGGGAATGCTGTCATGTAAAAAAAACCCCAACCCATAAATTAATGGTGTTGAACATTTGTACTTCTGTCAGCTTTCATTTTGCCTTCAACATGGCAGCAAGACCATGGTCTCACTCCAGTCTGCTTACTTCACAGTTAACTTTGTCAATTAACTGTATTTAGTGTCCTTTAGAATATGAGTTCCTGCTTCCTTCACCTTTGGTGTGTGGTCCGGCTAGAGGGATAAGAGACCTTAGTGAAACATCCTACTAAGACAAGGAGAACACAGCCTCGGCCAAGAGGGTGGAGCTGGGATCAACCTCCTTCTAGTAGGAGGAGAAAGGATGGCTCATGGCAGCAAAACTAGATTGCTGGTATCTGATTAAAGATTGGACAAAGCTGTGAAATACAAGTGTGATAACCTTGGTATTACGGTTTGGACGTACAGCCCTCCCTCTTCCCCCCATGCTTCCTCTCCTTTCACACTCATATATAAAAAAATAAAAATCAATCCCTTTGTGACAACTACATCATTGTGGTGTGCATAGTGAGCACATATCGTACTTGTAGGGTCAAGGTGGAGGAGAAGAGTCTCACTTGAGTGTTTTTCCCCCTTAATCATGTAGTATTTTCTCTGTTTTTCCCCAGCTTTCAATATTCTGGTTAACGTTGGCGTCGTGCTTACATACCCCATTCTGATCTCTATCGGCACAGTGCTCAGCGTCCCTGGAAATGCAGGTACAAGTACCGTGGTTGGTGGTGGAAAGATAAGGACACAGGCGTGCAGGCAGCAGAAGCAGTTTGTTGTCTGAATAGTGAAAAATCTGTGGCTGCAGATTTCAAAAGCGATTCAGTCTCCTTTGGCTTCCATGAATGCTCCTGGTGATGGCGGGTGTTCCAGTTGGTGAAAGCCTTTCTTTTTGTCTTGCCTCCTTTCTCTGGGAGTGATGGGATGCATCCATCCCACACCGAGCAGAGGGCAGGCTGAAAGCTGCTGGTTGCTGCCGAGACGTGTCGGGGTCGGCGTGCTGATGCTGCAGCTCAGCGCTGTGCGGGTGACTTGCCACAGGGCAGCAGGACAGGGTGGATACGTGGAAGTTTACTCCAGGGTCCTATCTTGTTGAATAGCCTCTGTCTCTGCTCTTCCAGTCTCCTCCTCCATGCTCTTAGCCTCGACGCTCTGGGTATTTGAGGATGTTTTCAAAGAAACATTTATTTTTAGGGGAATGCAGGTCAGAGCTGCAAAGCAGTCTGTACCTGTAAGAGGCTGCAGAAGGGCCCAGATGTGATGTTGTTGCTGGTGCTGGAGTTGGGAGCCTGGGTCTGCAGGCATCAACTCCGGCTTCCTGACCTGCATCCTGCTCTCTTCCCATCACTGGTCCATGCAGCCCAAGGAAACATTATGCTGATACAACCTGCTGTAGGTGAAGACTTACCATAAAGTATCTTCCCTGTCAGAGCAGTAATGAAAACCCTGAGGCTTAGAGCAGCCCTGCAAGGCTTCCTCAGAGCCTGCATCAAGGCGATGGGGAGACGTGGCACTTCCAGTACCACGCTCTCAGGTCAAAGCTGCTCTCTGAACTCAAGGACCTGGTCGCTGCAGAGGATTGAGAGCCATGAGGCCAGTATCACAGCCAGAGAGCAACACGGAGGTTACGGAGACGTGCCAGCCTGGTCTGATGCTGTAGATCATCCTGCTGCCGTTTTGACAGCGTTGTTGTTTCTTCTTCACAGCTGTGGATCTGTTGAAGCACAAAATGATCTTCAGCGTAGTGAGGCTGGGAGCCACCATCATCATTTGCATTGGGTTTCTGCTGATGCTGCTCCCTGAGGAGTGGGATGAAATAACCCTGAGGTTCATCAACAGCTTGAAGGAGAAGAAAAGTGAGGATCACGCCGATGACATCACAGACGCCAGCGTACACACGAGAAGCAGAAGCAGAGCTAACGGGACAGTGTCTATACCACTAGCTTAGGGCTGGTGGACTGTAACTGCACGCAGGTGTATATTCTGTGAATATAGCTTAAATTTCCTCACTACTTGTATGCTTAAAAACGACATTTACTCTGAACAGGGGATGAACTGTAAGATAAGAGAAATACATCTATAATAAATGTTTACATTTATACGCTTATCAAGGAACGGGTGTAAATAACTACAATAAAATGTTTTGTAATAAAAACCATTTAAGCTTGTGTCTTACTGAACTCGTGGGTTTAAAATATAGAGATCAAGTCTACATCGTTTATCTCCTTTTGCTGGTAAAATCAGAGCCCTTCTCAAAGACACAAATCTTGGTTATTTCCAGCTAAATCACAAAATCGAACGTGTCAACTCACCTTCGAAATAAAGCAACCTTTCGGTGAGGTTGTGGTTTTGGAAAGCCATTTCCGACCTCTCACAGCATTTTTGAGAACTTGTCTCTGAAGGAAGTCAATGTTCACCTTGATGTTAGGAATTAGCAGGATCAATATTCTGTGCCATGCAAAACGTTACGTTTTTGTTAAGTCATGCTGTTAGGAAATACGTGATGAGAGCTGCTTCGCACAAAACCTGGACGTGCTGCAGTGATGGGTTAGCCCAGAGACGCGGCATCACAAGAGTGTCTCCTCTCCATTGCGTGCTGTCCCCGCAGCTGGTGGAAACCAAAGGCTCAGCACCGATGTCCTAACCCACAGGACACCCAGGACATCGGTGGGGTGGAGTCTGGTTGGAGTCTGGTCTCCCAGTCTGGTTGGAGAAGTCTGTTGCTCAACACAGGAGAACAGTGTGTTTCTGTGAGCTTAATCTTCCGTGAGTTTAATTTTCCAATTAAAATCAGTTCAAACTAATTTTGCTTCCATCTCTACAGAGGAAGCAATTGGCCTGTACTTGCCCAAAGCCCTGAAGAACAGGGCTCAGCTGCCTCCCAATGCTCCGTTAAAGGAAAAAAAGAACAGGAAATGTGAATTGAGTCACATGCAGTGTCGGTGACAAGCCATGGCTGTACCTGCCACCTGAGCCGGGGTTTTGCCTCCTCATTAACCAGCAGTGGTCAGGATCTAAGGCTGTAGGAGGAGTTTGGGGTGAATGTGGGGTGCCGGTGCTGGGACAGAGTGTTTCGCTGCCGTGTCGCACCACGGCGCTGCTGGACTTCGACACTCACCTTCTCCCTTACTGCCAACTCCAGCCTAGTGCTTACAAACCCCCTGAGCTCTGACCTGGGACATGCATGAGCTGCCCGCAAATATGATGCTCCCACTACTCCAAGGCCTGGTTTCCCTCAAAAGTAGGATTTCTACCAGCCCTAGTCACCCAAACTGAGTAATTGAGCTGATATTGGTCATACCCTCCACTCTAGGACCACTGCTACACCTTTAGCTGCCTTCGCACCTTCTCCCAGCCTTTGCTAAAGAACTGACCCCGCTCATCACACCCATGGTCTGCTCCAGCCTGTGACCACATCCTATAAATATCCTATAAACCTGAAACCACCTGTAACTTCAACCCCCTGAGAGGCACCTGACTCCAGTGCTATAGCCCTGTGTCTCTCCCAGAGCCACTCTGAACTATGCCCCTTCCCGACAACTTTCCAGCAGTGGCACTGGAGTTGGGGAGCCTTTAGTAAAGTCAAAGATGGCCTTATTTATCTCTTTCTTTTTCTCCCAGAAAAGCTGCACTCCCAGCTGAATGACCAGTTTCTCACAAAGGATTGAACACCTCGAGTCGCCAGCGTCCCTGGGAAATGGCACTGCCTAATCTCTACAGCTTTTCCTTTGGGCCAAACAAATATTTTTCTTAACCTCCACCATGAAAAATATTTCAAAAGCTAAAACAAACCAACCACCCACCCTCCCCAGTGACTTCCCTGAGCCTGTCACTGTGTAATTTAGGCTGGCTGTTTTCTCTTGCAGCATTCCTAGGATTGAACACGTGAGATGACATTTATTTGAGAGCATTTGATATGCAGATGGAAGCATTTTTTTGAAGAAGAAGAATAGAAACAACTGGAAAGCGTCACAGATTGCTGAACTCTACTCACCTGCCCACTGTTTGCGAGTTCAGCAGCTAATAGGGGTTTTTGGATGGTATTTCTGCCAGAAAAGAGAAAATTATTAGGGAAAGGAAGTGTTTGTTATTAATAATACCAGTTATATGATAGCAACGACTGCATTTGTTATTAAAACACCAGCAAGAGAAGACTCAGCACAAAGCCACCATGGATTGAATCAGCTGGGCTGATTGCAAGCTCACCTCTCCATGAGCACATCCTGGCTGGCGCATCCTAACGAACCCCTCGTACTGCGCTGAGGCACATGGGGGGTCCCAGGGAGCCCCATGGTTTGGAGAAGTGCCCTGGGGCATCGCTGGTACCGGGATAGGCGTGACAGTGATGGTGCTGGAGGGTGACGGGCAGCCGCAGTGCCCCCACGGCCATTAGGGCTTGATACTGCTGCAACCAAAGCAGTTCACGTCAATAATAACAAAAGCACATTTTATTTGACTCTCTTCTGTTTGCTGTTGGTTTTTGGGTTTTTTTATCTCTTAATGTTCACATCTAAACTGTTCCTTGAAACCAGGAGAGCTAACAGAATACTTCTGTATATTAAAAAAACAACCACTTTCATCACACGACAGCAGAATTAGGGCTGTAGAAACCAACCATCCCCTTTGCACTAAACTTAGGTGTAAGGTTCGGGTACACCCATGTGGTCTCTTAAGTGTCTCCTCTAGCGTGTAAGAAGATGGGCTCAGAGCCTCGTCTGCTGCTTTTGAAAGACACCAAACGATAAAATGTTCTGAAGAAGTGAGTTCTAGCAAACGGGAGATACTGATGCGACAACACAGCTGAGAGCAAATAGCACATGGCAGCTTGGGCACCACCCCAAGCCCATTTTGGAGTTGATATCTTCATTTACACTGAAGAGATAGTTTTAGAGATGAGTTTTACTGAAATTTTAGCTCCTGCCAAACTGAACACATGGGAAAAACCCAAACATTTTCTTTTGGTATGCATTCATGAGTCCATTTTGGCAAGTGGTCTCATGGCAGCATCTTCAGGCCCAGGATTGGATCCTTGAAGGAATCTCATTGAGTATTCAGCAGGGCAAATCATGTGAAATCCCTGTGTTTGAGTCAGTTTTCCCCTACTGAAGATGTTTCATGGCCAGGAAAGGCATGTAGCTCCGAGCCCAGCAGCCACCTTCCGCCTCATCTCAGGCTTAACAGACAATGCCTAACCCAACCCAAGCTCTTTACTAGGAGCGAGTATCCCCTGTCTCACTGTCTCTACAGCGAATGGCGCTGAGGGTTGGACCAGTGCTGCAGAAGGCTTTGCCCCCTCTGCCACCGCTTTGCTCCTCCGGCCCCTGCTGTGGGTGGGCAGAAGGCATTTGCTCCTGCATCTGTCCCACCATCAGCCCTGGGCAACATCCACCGCTGTAGCTATGAGTGCCCCAGAGGCAAGCAGGTCCCTAATCCCTCACTTGCATCATGCCTGGATGCTTTCCAGCAGTGCTCATCCCACTCAGCAATTCGTTAAGGTCCCCTTGCTCACCCACTGCCCGACCTGAAGTTTATCACAGAATCGTAGAATGGTTTGGGTTGGAAGGGACCTCAAGGATCATCTAGTTCCAACCTCCCTGCCATGGGCAGGGACACCCTCCACTACATCAGGTTGCCCAAACCTGGCCTTGAACACTTCCAGAGTTGGGGCATCCATCATCTCCTTTATTAAGGGAGGAAAGTAATTGTTTTCCCCTAGAGTGCAGCTCAGCCTTTCAGCCAGAGCAAACCCATTAAACCCACGAAATCAGACAATAAGTGGAGGCTATTTTGCACCAGCACGTTGATGATCCATCAGAGGAACACAAACCAATAATCATGCCCATCAAGTGACCCATCACACGTGGTTACTTCTGTCTCCTATGAGCCCTTCTGTCACCTCCAGTGACGTGCGGGTTTCATTTCAGTCTCACCGTCTCCTTCGAGCCCCGAGGAAAATGCCAGTTTTGATCCAGTGGCTGCCTTAGCAGATTCCCCTTCATGCCAGGGCCCGGTTCCCTGGAAGGAAAACAAAACGTGCTGCGAATAACCCGCCTGGAGCATCGCTGCCTGCACACATCCTCTCCGGAGGGCTCGGCAACCAGACACCACGGACAATGTTATCTCGGCGCCGCCGGTATCCTCAGCCTTGGCTGGGATAAGATGAACACCTCCTGTTAATATAAGTGACAAGCAGCAGAGGGAAGAACAAGTCATATTTCCTGACCTTACAGATGTGTAATAATAGGATCTATTAGTTGCACCAGTGTGTATCCCAGCCAGTGCTGGATTGTTTTCATAGAATCATAGAATGGTT